CGGAGCAAAGGGTGTACTAGGTTGGATTTCATTTTTTCGAGGTTCTAAAGTGCCTTCTCAAACAAGCATGATCTTTATTAAAGTAAAGAATTTATCTGGATGATTGGAGTGAAGGAAATATGTGTTAATTTTACGCAGTGGTTGTCATGGCGTCCTTGTTCTTTTAATTGCCGCTAATAGTCAGTTACGCCAGGGATTCAGAGTGAGGACTCAGGTTACTTACAGCTAACATCGTCATTTTTAAGTTAATTCGCGATTGTGGGTGTGAAAAACTTACTCAGTAATTAACAGAGGTGATCGTTCAGAGTTAACTGATAGATGAAGTTTTTCAGCCATAGGGAAGAGGTCGCAAGATTTAAGTAAAATGGAATTTAGATTTGTTCGCTGTAAAACATTGTGAATTTATCCTATTACCGAACGGCGGTTTCTAATCCTGGGTGGGTCGGAAAAAGTGAAAGTTATCGTGGAATTATCGGTGAGAGAAGTTACGTTTTTAGTATACGTAAAGGATAACTATTACGTGGTAAAACAGAGAGAAAATTTAAAATTCTTCAAGTGTCGAGTTGCACACCTAAATTAATAAAGGTTTCATTTGACTACGGAAGCAAATGCGTGGATCGAGAGAATTCCGCATTACACGTTAAAGAATATTTGCGTCGGTTTCGTGGTGAATTAAATAAGTCGCGGGATACATATATTTAAATCATATAAAGTGTTGAAATTGTAACTAAAACTATTCGATAGTTTCAACAATACACTTATTTCAAATGAATTTAATCCGATATAAATCATAATGTGTAAATTGAAGAGCCCATTGAATTTGGTGTAGATTTAAGTTCGTAATTTCAATACTTTAATCAGACAAACTCAAGGGTTCATTTACTACAGAGCTTGTCTTATAAGAATGTGAATAGAAAATGGTTTAGGGTGGATCTATACTGTTGCGTAAACTGTATTTGAAATTGGGACGTTTAGAATAGACTTGGGTGTGTCATTGTTAATTAGTTCATCAAAATCTTGTTTTCCTTGCTTAATGTCGTGGATCTGATGGTTACGCCTTAACACAAAACAATTTCTCAATACGAGCGTGCAGTCAAAGTTATATTTGTTTATTGCACTTTTGGGAATTCTTATGTTCTATTTTTAATTTTTTTGTTATCAAGTTACTTGTTAGCCCTAATGAAACAGTTCTAGTTGATTTATTAGGTTTTCCTGTTATTCGTGAGAGATAAAGATAATTGGTTCGGAGATAACGTGACTGTTTTAATCATTAAAAAATAAACTAAATATAATAATATAAATACAAATACAATATATATTTATATGACCATTCAGTATTGTTCTTTTTGCTCGCTAGGTGGAAAATTGACTAGTAAATTTCAGACAAGCAAAGAGAAAGCTCTACTGTAAGCAAAACCACCAGATGTAAAAATTTAGTAAATAATGGCAAACAATAATTAATTTTATTTTGCTTCATTTTAAGTTCAGAATTTCAAAACTTTATTAAACGAAGGGAAGGGGGCTTTATTGCAATAAAGACGGTTTCAATATTAACTTACCACAGTTTTTCCCCGTTTTAGTTTCCGTATCCGATATATTAAATCGTGTATTCTCTTTGCTCGCGACGCAACCGCGCGACTTACTATAATGGAACATTTGACCAAATACACCAGATTGGTGGAAATTAACCTGGAAACCAAGGTGACGAATTTATCTTGTTGCACACAATTGTGGCAATTGTGCAGGTGTGCATTTCTTTATAATTTATTTGTGTATTTGTGTATGCAACATTTTATATTTTTTATAATTGTCCATCTTTGTTTTTGAAATTGACCTGGGTTAACCTCAATGATCATTCTTTTTTATCGAATTGTTTGCAGTTTGGTACTTGTTTGTAAACTAACACTTTGTGCCTTGAAGAAACAGTCACGGGGTAGTAAATAACTGTAACCACATTAGTTACGGCACCTAATGCCGGGACTGTTCTCGAATCTCAACTATAGGCTGGGATATCCTCCAGTTATCCGTCTGAGGGGTCACACACACAAAATAAAAACTCTTCAGTTTAGAATCTATGTGCAATTCACTAATTCCCTTCTCTGCGATGCTTCAGCACTGCACAACTAACGTAAGGGGGCTCTGCCTTAGATGTTTGATCACGTATAATTTTTAGTCCTCAAAATTAAGCGGGATCGTTTAGCTTTTGGAGGGAACAGCCATTCTGGTAGTCATTTGAAAAGTTGCCGAGTTGATTTTATTTCCGTGTTATTGTAGTGTGAAGTTAGCGTAAAACCTGGGGGTTTTCCTGGTATGGCCTTGTTGTCTGCGTAATATATTTCATTTGTTCTTGTCTTTACTTCACATAAAAGAACCGATTACGCTCACTACAGTTGCCTTTTGTTAATAAGTGTTGTGGATATGAATAAAACTCATCAGACGAAGTTTATTTTCATAATTCTTCTCCACGATTAACAACTACATATTAATAACAAAATGCAAATAACGTAAACGTTTATTATTTCCGACATCCTTTTTCAATAAAAGTTTTAACTATACCAATTCCAACTAGACACGATTTGGGCAAATTGCTGAAATGAAATTAATTAAATTTGTTAACTTCCGAGTAGTTAAAAATCACGATATCTACATTTTCTCTAGAAACCACGTTGTTTTCGGTTAATAAAATGACTGTTAGGGTCAAAAAGTTCGCCAAATTTCTCTTTGTAGTTTAAACTACAACTTCATTCATTAAATTGATTTCTGTATTTATTAATTTTAATGATCTCGTTAGGTTTTAAACGGTTAACAATCTTTTGCTCGTTGGTTCCACTCGAAGTACTATACGGATTATATTGATAAATTTTAATCTCATAAAAATGAAGGTACCAAACCGAAATGGGAACGCGAATGCATCATCTTACTCAGAACAAATTGTGACAAAAAGTGTATAACGGTTTCTTGCGCCAGCCCACTTTTTTATTTGTATGCAATTGATGCCGTTTTATAGCTAAAATAACAAAAAAAAGTTGTGAAAGTGTATTGTAGGATGTTGTAAAAAGTGAACAAAGGAGCGATGTATGTTTATCATGATTAGCTTTTTACTGTATAGACTTCTATTTTTAATGTGTTCTAGTTTGGCATAATTTTTAACAAATTTAATTTTCGATCGTCATTTGTATCGGTCTATTGTAGTTGGGAAAGTAGTCGCGTAGTAAACTTTCTTTGATAAATTTAATTGTTTAAAGTAACAAATTCAGAAATTACTGTTAGTGAACATTATCAAGATGGGCTCTAATAATTTTAATTCAATGATATTATCAAACGTTCGTCGTAAAATAAGACAACAAAATTACCTAGGAGTGTACCTAATTATTATAATGAATCATATAGTTTAATCAGAGTTTATCTGCGTAGCTATCTTTTATAACTACTTAGGACGTAACTTTATTACGCAATTCAGAAATTACAAATGTTTTCTATTTGCTTTCTTTGCATTTTTTTTTGTAAAGGATTATGTACCGTTTCAAATCAACGAATCTAACCAGCACGCATAGTTCTACATTCCGCTTAATTGTTTAATTATATACCAGAAGAAATCGGCGTTGATAATCCAATAATATTCATTATGCTTGTTAAAAATAGCTTTTTATAACAGATCGACGGACATGCTTTTTTAGTCACACGAAGAAGATCTATTGACCAGTATATGATTCGCCAGTGGGATAATGTCGCGTAATTCTTAAAGGTGTTCAATCACTCTTAATGGTAAATGATTATCGGGCACAATGACAATGGAAATATTCTTTATCTAAGTAGAAATAGAAGCTACTACATTTTATTGAGGCACCGCTAACTTTGTAGGAGTTTTACTTTTTTTGGTGTCTCACTTACCCATTTAAGGAGAATGTGCTTTAGGTATTTCACTAGTCTATATGGTTAATAGTTGTTTGCATTTTAGTATCGATTGCTTTACTTTAAAGTCGTCTTATTTTTTATTTTATGAATTATAACGGTAGGCACAAACGGCCAACTAGCTCAGGCTTAAACAACAAGAAAATACTAGTTTATTGAGATCTGTCACAGCGGTAGTTCGTTCTGGGCATATGAATATGGATAACAGCATAAATCAATTTAGGGTACCAAAAGAAATTCTCAAATATCAACTCAAAGTGCAATTGTCTCCACAATTGGATAGCGTGTCATACAGACAACATACAACAAATTCCCCTAATTTATAATCATGCCCCCAATCAAGAATGTGAGATTAGCAAACAAGTTGGCTATCTAAATAACTAAAGGTTCCCAAAAGCAAAATGAAATACGATCAATATTGTACGGATGATGAAATCACAAGTCATCACTCATCACTGATAAATCGTAAAAATCGTATTTATCCCTTTAAGAGGTTTTAACGATACACTTTATAATACACAAACGCAAAGAAAGTTGCCCCAATAGGAGGATGTTAAAATCTTCATCGTGACCTAGTGACCTATTTCTGGTATTCACAGCAAAATGACCGCTTGCTATCAGCGCAGATGGAAAGATAAGCCAAGGGCGTCGGCAGACCGGCACCCACAGACAATATATAACCTTGGGTTAAGGTCATCACCTAAACCCAAGGTTACAAAACTTATACGCCGAACAGAATCGTAAGTGACGTAAAACGTATCCGGAACTTGAACTTGAGGGTGAACTTGAACTTGAACGTGAACCCTAAAAGAAATCAAAGGTAATCCCTCATCTTTTATAAACTAAAATTTACATACCTCTTAAAGAATATGGCTAATCGTAAATTAAGCAACAATTGTCGATGGAATCTGTACAACAAATTACGGCCGAAACACAAAGAAGGTTTACTCTAAATCAACGAAATGCAAATTACAGTACTTACGATAAAAAAGGAAACAACGCAAATGTATGTATATCCTACTATGCGCACAAGCTTAGAAAACTCTTTATTTGATTTATTTAATCGACCTATCTTAATTTGTTCAGATAGAAAACAAAAACAAACGAAAATATCACTAATTTGTTGCTATTGGATAGAAAGAATTCGTCAATAGCCAATACGACCCGTTTTCTTCCCTTTTAACAACATAGGCTTATGGGATAATTTAATTTGCTGTCAGTTACCTTTGTGAGAATCTTGGGATAGTAAAAATTAGTTTATTGATTCATATTTTACTTCCCAAATTTTTATAATTTTCTCGAAAACGAATGGACCGATTTTAAAAAATCAAACCTCAAAATAGAGGATTTCGAAAGACCTTTCAAACAAAGGGAATGACCCTGGGGGGCAGAAGGTGAAAGGGGGTGAAATAGTTTCTGGTTAAAAAGTTGTCCCCCTTGTCAAATCTTTTGACGTGTCTCGGCGTTTTTTCCTTTAATCAGTGCAAATTTATCTTGGTACTAAACGGGCTCCTCCACACTCTGAACGAGGACGGAGCGTATACACAGTGATACACGGGCGACTTCACGATCGTCATAACTGGAAAGTTTCCAAACACCGTGAAAGAGATGCAGGGAGCTCTTGAAACAGGTGGATAGATGGTACTGTAGCCATGGCGCTCCGTTAACCGGGAAAAGACCGTGATTGTTCCATTTACGAATAGAGGAAAGCGGACCTTGATGGGCTCACTCTTCAAAGAGGTCAACTGGGTCTGACCAGGTCAGTGAAGTATTTCGGAGCCAACATAGACTCCTATCTAGACTGTCTATGGGCATGTAGAAGGGCAACATAAAGGAAGCAGCTAGGAAAGGTTCAGAAACTCGCCTGTATGGGAGTCACTGGAACCATGAGAAACTTCTGAGACTAGGGCCTTTACACTTAGCTGCGAAGGCCGATGTTCAGACGGCTTCCATACAGCTAAACGATTGGGACGAGTAGAAGGTTCGAACAGCCTAGGGCACGGTCACAACGAGGTGCCCTGTCGCTTTTTTTAGATCCGCTTTAAGGGTTTACAGTTATATATAGGTCATGTTGTTCACGAAGTCAGTTTTTGTTTCAGTTAAACTTACCTACGATATAGCGTCCTATATGCACACTTTTATGTCATTATTTTAATACAATTTGGATGTTTGGTAATTACTTATTTAAGACTTGTTAAAAATATTAGAAAACTATTTTTATTTAATAATCCATAGAATAGCCGTCTTGTTTAAATGTGACTCCTAAAGATTGTCGCACTGTATTCATCAACTCGGCCAATTCCAGTGATTCGGCGTGTGTCATCTTGGGACTCTCAGTAAGGCCTGCGACGACGAACTATTAATACCTAATTCTACAATGCATTTATATTGTTACCTAGCTCAAGACATTTTCGAACTTCCTCCGCTTCATAAGCTAAGCCGTTGCTACGTAATAAAGTGAAATTTGCTGTAGAGGTGGGCAATTCACATTCTATTGTTCCGGATGGTGTGATCATAGTGGATGGACACCAAAATAATGGAATCTAGACATGGTTTTAGTGGTAATTATTCGTAGATATGCATAGCGTACTTTTAGCATTCCTTTCGTTCCATATACAGTTGCACAGTTCTCAAGTTGTACACGTGTATTGACTGTTAGTACGCTAGTACGTCCATTTGGGTACATGAGAATAATTGTTGTAGCATCATCCACACCATACTTGTTTAAATGTCCGGAAACTGTGACACTTATAGGTTTCAGTCCCCTATAAACGTACTGTGAAAACTGTAATGCGTAAATCCCAATATTCATAGTTGCACATTGTGCTTCTTCCTTTACGCTGGACAAAAACGCTAAGTTATACACGATTAGAAGATCAGACCTCGTATCTACTTCGCATAATCGACTCCTGCCAACGGATATCCGAACTCCACGTTCACCTGCAGAACGTCACCGATAGTATTATTTGCGATCTGGTCCGTTAGAATATCATAAATTGGAAATGTGCGGGACCAAAGTCCCTCCATCAAAAATAGACCTTTGACTTTGGCGTGGGCAATTAACTCTTCAGTTTCCTTCTTATTAATTGCCAAGGGCTTTTCGCACAAAACATGCTTTCCGTGATCCAACATCATTTTCGAAACAGGTAAGTGACCGGGATTTAAAACTCCAATGTACGCTATATCTGCAACAATATCCTACTTTTTACATTTCGTAAAAAAACAACAAACGGGTCACATCATTGTATCCCATTTATTAACCATCGATTTCAATAGGAAAGGGATTATTTTAGTAGAGGAGGGGATGAAGGCGTATATAAAGTTAACAAAAAATTCGTTCCAAAAATAATTACCCAAGTGTAGTAGACGTCGCGTCGTCTAGTACAAAGGCAGTCACGTCAATCATAGCAGGTAACCACCCACCGTAAAACTGGTCGCCTGCGAGGTGTGCACTAATTATGCTATTATATTTTCATATCTATCTAGCCCATACGAAGAAAAAGACATAGTTCTGCAGTGGGCGGCTACCTGCGTCATTGACGTGAATGTTTTTATACTAGCCGACACCGACGTCTACTCATATGCCAACATCCATGCTAACGATTCTAATGAAATTGTGGATTTAACCTCCTGAATAAATGATGATCGATTAGCATCATTTAGTGAAAATTGCTTCTGGATCATCATTTATTCAGGATGCTAAACATAAAATGTCAGTAAAATCATGCACATTTGCTGAGAGGTATGGACCACAACGGTAGATAAAGTGAAACAGATGATTGCGTATTCTAATGACATTTGTCATTCTTGTTTCAAATGTGACGCGGAGCGCGAAATAAAATGACGTTCATATACATATAATGCGGTTTCTATGGAAACGTGCACGATGCCGTCTTGTATAATAAATAACTATTAATTAATTGATAGTAAGTACTTCTTATGAGAGTTTAGAAACCTATATAAAGCCCAAAAGTAATTATTGAACAAAAAGACCGTAGGGTATTATAAAATCGTATAAGTACATGAAAGTTTCAAGTTAATAAGCAGTTATGCGATTTAATACGAAATTACTTTTTCGTTTGACCCGCTGATATATTATCTGCACACGTCAAATTTAGGATTTAAAGCTCTTACCTATATCCTTATCCTTTGCAAGGTCTTCGTAACTGCCATACGCGTTTGGTATGTTATGGCGCTTGGCAAACCCTTGAGCGTCACTCAACTTACGCGCCGCCACTGCTATCACCTTGTGATTTTTCTCAGGGTGAATTTGTACAGCACATGTAAAGTCGTTAGCAATTCTTCCAGAACCTACTATACCCCACCTTAACGCCATCTAAGAGACAGATTTATTTCAGTAGATGAGTACACTGAGTGCACTAAAATAGTAATTTACTTCAAGATCACGGGCCAAGTCAGCCCGTAGGTTAAATAGTGATATTAATGATAAGTAGGTATAAAATACAGAAATAATTTATCCGATAACAAAACGTTGCCCTATAGCCTTTGACCAAATTGATCAACCGGGTGCTGTTTCTTCCAAAATCCTAAAGGTTGCAAAAGGTTATCCCAATTCCAAATAAAGAGGACGTATCGCATATACACAACTATAGAGCAATACACGTTCTGAAACGACAAATAAATGAGAAACGTCAAACACTAATAAGATCATATCTTACTAAAAAATAGCTATGTGTCCTATTTAACAATTCAGAGTCGAATTCATTACCGATCATTCAAGAGCTCAGTTCTTGGATCAATCCCTTTTTCTCATCTTCATTAATTACTTGCCGAAATGTCACCCCTGATCTTTGCTGATGATGCAACTTTCATAAAGGAGTACACTAACAGAGCGATCGAGAATGATCGACGAAGTTAAAAATGGTTTATAGGAAATAAATCGACGATTAATGTTAACAAAACGCAAAACTTAAGATTTACTTTAAAGAAAAACGTGACAAAAAGTGCGAATTAAACTATTGCCATACTTGGAGTGACGTTGGATCAATATGGACCACATATTTTTAGAACGATCTCGAGAGCATCATACAGTAGCGTTCCATGAAGCTGATCCTGAACTTAGAAGAGAAAAGAAAGCTTTATATTTAAATACGTTATCAGAACTGCGAAATCTGACATTAATTCAGGACCACCCTGTATACATTTTTTGACCAGGAATCACTTGAACAAGTACTGAAAATAAGGAGTCTGTTTCGTTTGCTTTGTAAAAGTTAATATTTACCGAAATAATCGCTTGTATTTTGTCGATAAATTGTAAAGAAATTATGTGTTAATCCATTAAGTTTATTAATTAGCTTCAAGATAAACACGTGGTATCGCAGATATCCTTTCGCCGATAAGAAAATACAAGTGTTTATTAGAAAACGCAGTTAGAAGTGGAACCGAAAGGGAAATTGATTTTAAATAGAGGAGACTGATGTTAATCATAGCTTGTTTGGTTTGGTGGACGTTTGAAATGTATCCCTTTATTGTTTTGTGTGTGCTTGGAAGTTTTGCCGTTATCGAAACTTTTTGAAATGACAGTCAGTTTCGTGGAAGAAAATTAATGAGTGTTTTAAGTAGAATTAAAGAAGTGAAGTTTACAGTGAAGTAGTTGTTTCTCAGTGCCAGTTAAAGCGAGTTTTTTTTATCATCAAGGAACCAAATTTTACATTAGTAATTACAACGAAGCTAGTGTCGTCTAAATCGAGATTCAAGTGCTATGTAATTAAAGTCGAGGAGTGAAGTTTCATTTTTTTTCAAAATAAATGAAAATATACATGGTGTTCTACCAAAAAAGGTGTTAAATATTTTTATAACCCCATGTGTAATTGTTTTCCTGGCCATTGCAATCGAGAGGGAAAATAATGCTTCATGGTTTCTAATTTAACCAGCTTTGTAGTTGCAATAAAAACAAAGGTAACAATACTGCCGACTTTGAACATGCTGTATATATACAGAACCCCATCAAACACCACCTAGACTTATGATCATCGATACATTCCTTCGAATGAAACTGGCGGCCAAATTTGTTAACTGTTCAAAGAGTTGCATTAAAAAATTAATAAATAGATTAAAAATCAATTTCGCATGACTAGGATATCCTTTAATTACACAAAAACTTAAAATGAAATTTGGTGAACCTTTTACCAAGCAAGTATGATTTCTAAAGAAAATTTAGATATTCAAATTAAGCATTACTCGCAGTTTACCATTCATTGCGCCTTTCCATTTCTTCAATTTAATTGCACTAATCCCCTCAGTCCTGCTATCTCGATTGTTGTGTAGCTGTTCTATCATTTGACCCCGTGCTTTCTTTTTTTGTGGATCACTTCGAGATTTAAAATAATGTAACGTAAATTTAATTATTAATGTTCACAGGAAACACTATAATTAGACAACTAAATTAAAACGGTTCCTAAACATAGATTGATTTATAACAGTTAATTATTATTTATCACTTTCTGGTACTCATACCTATAACCCACAAGCGCGGATTTCACTGTTTATCACTTCCGCATTAACGTTAAGATTTAAGACTAAACAATACAGTCTGCTAATTTGATTATATGGCAAACAAAAACCTACAATCACCATATCATATTACGTGGAAAGAATGCATCACATCCGCTTTCACTCTTTATTGCCGGAGTCTTTTATGTGACCTTTATCGACATGATGGCGCCTTGATATCGCAAGAAAATTTGCTCAATTCGACACAATGAAATTTTGACGTTTACGTAGAGTTTGATGGGAGCACGTGCTATTATATAAATGTTGTTTTATCGCTCTTCTTTCTATACTTTCTAATTACGGCTAGAAAATAGGAATACTCTTTCAAAATATTTCCAAAGTTCAAGACTCAAAACATGTGCATAAAACGACGTTACCGTTTTACTTAAGAGTAGTCTTATTGTGAAGTAGTAACTAATTTTTTGACCACGGTGCTTTTTTATCTTAGGTTTGAAATATATGTTAGAATCAAACACGGATTTTGGTCAATGTCCGAAAAATGTAGCCAAACGCGTTCTGATTGAATTGTGTACACTTTGAACATGATTTCTTTACTGCTGACGAATGTATCTGACAAACATGATTTCAAGAGTTCCGTTCTCTATCTAACTACTCCCTCTATAATGGCCCTTCAACTGAAAAAACTGATATGAAAATTAAAAATTGGTTTCGTCATTATTTATTTTTATTCTCCACTACATTTGTTGTAATTTCGGTATATAAAAGCCATTAGAAATAAAAGCTGGGACACAAACGTTAACCATCTTGTGGAAAATATACTCCTATAGCTTTTCTCACTGTATCCATTAGCTCCGCCAATTCAAGTGATTCGGCATGTGTCACTTTGGGGCTTTCAGTAAGACCTAGAGTACTAAACTATTAATTACAGCGCATAACACCAACAATTATTACCTTGCGCAAGACAGTGTCGAACTTCCTCCGCTTCGTAAGCTAATCCATTGCTATTTAGAAAATTATATTTAGCTGTAGAAACCGGTAATTCACGTTGCACAGTTCCCGATGGTGTGACCATAGTGGATGGAGACCAAAATAACGGAATCTAGGCATGCTTTATTTAGTAAATACTCGCAGATATGCCTAACTTACCTTGAGCATCCCTTTTGTTCCGTATACAGTTGCACAGTTCGCTAGTTGCACACGTGTATTGAGTGTTAGTACACTAGTACGTCCATTTGGGTACATAAGAATAATACTGGCTGTATCGTCCACACCATGTTTATTCAAATTGCCTGAAGCTGTAACACTTACAGGCTTTAATCCTCTATAAACATACTGTGAAAACTGCAAGGCGTAAACCCCAATGTCCAAAGTCGCACTTCCTCCAAGCTCCTTTACGCTAAATAAGAACGTAAAGCAATACGAGACTAAAAGAATTGTGGCTAATACTTCACACGATCGACTGACGTCAAAGGAAACCCAAACTCCACGTTCACCTGTAGAACATCTCCAATGGCACCATTTGCAATCTGTTCCGTGAGAACATCATAAATTGGAAATGTGCGCGACCAAATCGCCTCCATCAAAAATAGGCCCTTGGCTTTGGCATGACCGATTAATTCTTCAGTTTCCTTCTTGTTCATTGTCAAGGGTTTTTCGCACAGTACGTGTTTTCCATGATCCAACATCAGTTTCGATAAAGTTAAATGTGACGGATTTATTGAACCAATGTAGACTACATCTGCAACAATACCGTACTACTACTTATTACGGAACCTGGATTTCTAGAATGACTAAAATCCCGGCATACTTTTTAGACGGTATCCGAAATACACACGGGGTCGATGGTAACGTTTAAACCCGATTAGAACTAAGGATCTATCTCGTGTCGTTACAATTCCTTTACTGGACTTATGGCATTAATTACTATTGCAAAATTGTCATGGTTCTTGTTTGCGTTGTTTATTTGACGAATCTCAATGATCTGAAAAAGTTAAAGAATCGAAAGCAAAAAATGCGAGGAATGTGATGGTCATGAAGAAGATTAACCATTCGGAGAAACGGTGCAATCCAAACAATTTGAAAATAACGAAACGATTAGAAGTGTAGATGAATCCATATCTGACAAAACAGAAATCGGATCTGAAAAGCCCAAACACCTAAAACATACCCAAAGACGCTCAAGAAAGGATCTCACTGAAGGCGAAATATGAAGAATCAGGAGAATCCGAATCATACGAAGAAATGATAGAGTCTGAATAAGCTACTCAATCTGAATAATTGAAATAAATTTAATAACCTAAACGATCGGAAAGAGAAGCCCGAAATCATTTGAAGAACCTGAAGAGTCGGTATAATCTAAGCAAGAATCCGAAGTATTCAAAGAGTTCGAAGGATCCCAAGGGAATCTGAACAACATTGTCTGAAAAATTACAAATGATAAGAGTGAAGAATTTAAATCATGGATGAACTTGAATGAATCTCAACAATCTGAAGCATCGGAATAAAGGGAAAAAACCCGAAATATTATCAATCCTAAGAATCTTATCTAAATAATCGGATGAATGCGAAAAATTCAACAATCCCAACGCAAATATTCCGTTTTCGGATTTAAGACTTACCTACGTCCTTATCCTTTGCGAGGTCTTCATAACTGCCGTACGCCTTTGGTATGTTATGACGTGTAGCGAATTCTTGGGCATCACCTAACTTTCGCGCCGCCACTGCCACAACCTTGTGATGTGCCTCGGGATGAGTTTGTAGAGCGCACGTAAAATCGTTAGAGATTCTTCCGGCGCTTACTATACCCCACCTTAAAGCCATCTAAGAGTAAATTATACGTTAGAAAAATGCAGAATGAATGACCATAACTATAATAGTATTATACAAAAATGGCAATAAACTTCAAGATATAGGTCTAAGCTCGGGTCTAAGTAATCTTAAGATAACCTTGCAGGAAATTGATTAAGTTAGAGGTTACGTAATTGGATCTATAAATAGCTTGTAGGAAAGGACCGAGGCATAGTAAACAATCCAATGTATAGGTATATTCTATTCGTATCCACAGAATAATTCACATATGCTTTATTACATTTTTATAAGACTGGGAGAGGATGTCTTAAGTATCTATTTCAAACGCCTGTCAGGCAAATTTGTATTGACCAGGACATACACATAATATAAATAAAAATACTTACTTCCGTGTAATAATTGTCGAATACTTAATTCGCTGTGAGCAAGTCTGATGCTGTCTACCGTAACGCTGAATCTACGGGAATACGAATACGACAGTGGTGCCGGTGAACTAGGTTCGAAGCATTACGTCAGCTAATTTATTATTTCATGGAGATAATTGAGTATATGTAAAGTACCGCTATACCTATACGCATTACGCAAACTTATCGTTATCACAAACGATAGGAAAATAACGAAAGTGTCATGTCACATTTTATAAACTCAATTGCTCTGGTAGCACACATCATCCACTATACATATAAGCGTGAGATATTATTTGCACTTTACATTTGTGCAAATAAAATTTGAACTATAGAATTATTCAGAAAAAACTCGTGATTGATCCATGCTCTCTAAATGGAGTGATGAAACATACAGGAAATAAACAACTCAATTCCTCAAAACCTTCCCCATGGATATTTAATTATTGACGAACAGATACAATTGCGAAATGTTACGACATGTTTCGATTGTTAATCATCTTCAGGTAACAAATTATTAGTACAGTGCGTGAGAAAATTACATTATTGAAAAGTTGTTGAAGTCTTGACGTTACATTGAAATATTATAAGTAATAAATTAAATTATTTAAATTAAATTTAATTTCTGATCGAATGGCACCAATACCAAGTCTGTAAGTGGTGTAGTTCCGGAGCCTTTGTGACATCAAGAGCGAAAAAATGCACTTTTTATTTTTTGAAAGTAAAAGTGCACTAAAAAAACAAATACGTTATTAGTTACATTGTACCTAACAACAGTCTATGCAGTAAGTTGGACATAAATGTAAGGAAAAGAATAGCGAAGTGCTTTGTATGGAATAAAACGTCTACAATTTTGAAAAATGATAAGAAAAGAATTGTGGCGATGTAAATATGGAGAAGAATGCTTAGGAGTAGGAAGATCTTTGTATAGCACAATTTTGAGATGGAAAAGAATATGGCTTGGTCATGGGCTAAGAGAATAGTTTGCAGAAAGACATGATCGAAGGAGCCGTGGACGGTACAAGGAAAAAAGCGGAGTGAAAGTGAAGATGGTAGACGATCTCAAAGAGGGGAGAGGCTACGTGAATATGAAAAGAAAGGCAACGGATAGAGAAGAGTGGAGACAGCAAAATAGCACCTGCATATAGCAGAAAACTAAAAAAAAGGAAGGATGCTCGAAAAAAACTTCAAGAGGAGCTTGAGATAAACTTGAGAGCAGCAATGAATTTTAAGGGAATGTGAAAGAAATTTGGAAACTTGAGAGCAATTAGAAAAGATAACCTCAAAGGACCTTAAGAGATGCTTATGAAGAAATTGAGTATGGTATGTTTTAAGGGGACCATGAACGGACTAACGGAGGTAAGTACTCGAAGAGAACTGAAGGGAAAATTGAGAAAAACTTGAGAGGAACACCAGGGAAAGTGTTGCTCCATCTTATACTTTTAATATTTAGGTTATTTCAATGTATGTTGATAAATGATTAATGGCACAAATCCATAATTGTACAGAGCTAGTACACGGTATGACGGTACACGATTTCAAATATATGAGTTCCCAAATAACGAGCCATGCGTGTAGTGGGCGCGCCATTTTATACTTTGAATATTTCAATTATTTTAATGATAAATGATTGATGGCCGATAGCTTTACAAATAAGGCACGCTTTGTGTAACAAAAGTGTCATTTTTACTACGCGATGAATTTGTAGTAAAATTCCGATGTTTTATTAGATGATGGTGACAATAAATAACTCTTTCATGCGGACATGAACAAATAATGAAATGTAAAGGCCATTGCACGTACAGCATGTCAAAGTCAAAGATGAAAATTTGAAACCAAATATATGTACGTAAATCAGCTTCTGTTTGATTGATGTTAGTCATAATGCGGCTTTGTTTTGAAGATTTATTTTTCAAATACGTTCATTAGATTGATTCTTTTCTGCTATTGACTCCATTAATATGTTTTGATCGATTCGATTCATTACCTATTATAATGATTATGATGGAATATGATTTCGTTTACTATTTAAGCCTTCTCTTCAGTATAAATGATCAACTAATCAAGATTTTTCCAGGCATTATAAATTCAAGCGACTCTCAAAAGAAATTGGATCTACCTACCTCGTTGTTTGATTTATACCGAGTATAGAGTGTAACATATTCAATCAATAGTTAAAGGTCCTATGGTGTTCAGAACGCCTCATGTCAAAGATTAAAAAATTGCAAGTTACTTACTAAATGCAAATAATTTGTACAGTATAAGATTTCTAACCTGGAAGAAATATACAATTGCAGATACATCTTATCCAGTCTTAATGGCGACTGTTAGTGTAATATTTAAAGTAATAAATTCTTCCCGAAGAATTCCGGTCAACTCTAACACGAATTATGGTGTTAACAATGGAGAAATGCTACAATAACGTAATAAAAATGTCTCCTCAACTTTAAAATTTAAATTAAATGCGCTTCTAATTCGCCACACCTCAAATATTTTTCTAGTTGGTGTCCTACAATAGTCTAGTGGAATAAGAAAACACGAAAGAGAGTTTAATGTGTCATTGTAACAACAAAACGATTGTCTTTTTTAATAACCAGTTAGTCGCTTTGTATTTTTTACCATGTACCCACTTATTACAGTTGTGAAGCCATTATAAGTTATCTTGACACAAAATTACATCGAATCTCATCCTACAAATTGCATACAGTCACATAAGTCCGTATTATGCTGTTCGCATCGCTACTACGTTATAAACAACGCATAAATTTCAAATAGCATTATGAATGTGGGACCGTTTACTTCAAGACGCCTGACACGCAAATGCAGATTTTGTAAATTATGGTATTGTTAATAAATCACTGCACTAAGTAGTTACAGCTAGCTTGTGAGGTGTGTAATTAACTTGAAAACCTGTATAGAGAGTGTTACTTTCAATAAAATATTCCCAGTCCATTTTTTTTGGCTTACTTTATATGTTATTTAAAATGCAACTCCCTATTTAGGTATGCAGAAGGGTTGCTAAAATAATTCTTCAATAGGTTTGCTATTGTGTGCGTTCAATTGACGTCCTATACATAAAAAGGGTTTTTTATTTAAGAATTTAAAATCTGTGAAATCTTCCTGTGAAATTCCCGACAAGAAGCTGAAATCAAAAGTGAGAAAATGTTGTGTCATTGCGGCATTTCCATTACCTACTTAAATGTAAATTAGTCAAACTTAAGACTGTTCCTGAGAATAAGATTGCTAATGGTAAAATAAAAGGAAAACTACGAGGAGTTACACTAAAGTCACTGTATATGTGATTAAAGCTAATAGTAACAACGTTTTTGGAAGGTAACGCAGAACTATACCTCATATTTCCATACTTTGCAGATGATATAGCTATATGTCACTGAGTATATACCGTAGTCAGCTTCTCAATATAAAAAAAATATCTTGTATATGCAAGGAAAATTTGTTTAATTAATTTTGAGCCCACAACCACAACGACCTTGAATATAGGTATTGTTTCGATTATTACAAGTACACACTTATACGAACTTGTACATCATTAACAATATTTTTTAATACTCTTATTTTAATTAATTTTCACTGGTGTATTTATTTTAATATTCTGTCAATGCTACAGGTTGACAATAAAAAACTTAATTTTATAAATAAAAAAACAATAAGTCATATCGATCATGCGCTGGTTGAAGGTGGATTACATCACCACTTTGCGATAAGCATTTCTCCACCCTCGTAATTGCCTCTCTTCCAGCAATTACTACTGTAGATCAAGTACAATGAGTTTGGATAGTGCTCGTCGATATACATTTCCATTCATCCCTGACGTCTACTATACGAATTCTACCATATCTTGTAGGATACCTACGTTTTGACTACTCTTTTCGCTTTTCGCCAGTCATTCCTTGTTCAGCAATTATAACAATGTTATCAACCTTGATATTTTAAGTCAGGTTAATCTCAATTTAAGATACATTCCCTTGTTTAAGTAAAGAAAACCCTTTCCAAGCACCTGTCTAAAAATGTGTGAGGGTTCCAACCCCTAGCACATGCGTTAATGTTGCTAGAACTATTCTCCCTCTGTACTGACTGCCACATAGAGGTCCATTATGTAAAAGGTCTTTTTTACTCTGCTTTAACAAATAAATTTGTAAAAAATACACCAGAAAATGAAGTAGGAGAAATTAAGGAAGGTGCACAAGTTAACGACGTAATAAGTTTTCAAAGTGGCGCTATATACCATCCACGTTTGTCTGACTATGGGTGTACAGTAATAATGGCAGATTTTACGTTATACTGCTTCATCACATTACCCGAAACCTATAAATCATACGGCTAAGGAAACAAATTTCTCCCAGAAGAATTAATACATAGTTTGTCATTTAATCTATTTATAATTAGTACTAACGATCATAAATTGCATTGGTATAGTTTTTGCTTTCCGTTGATTAACGGCGATATAGGCAATGAAGTGGTTTTATGTTATTTGTATGGATTTGAATTTATAATGAACTTGAAATTGTTAATAACTTATTCAGTTTAAGGTTTGGTGCAAAATTAGATGACGACCTCGTTTTCTTATAAGCCAAAATTTATGTGAGAAATATATAAATTTTCTTTAAGGTAGGTATTATAACGTTTTTTCATAGTGAAATCATAGACTTCTTAGGAACCAATCTTATTAATTGTTACCCAAGTTGTATTACTAGTTTTTGCAACTTTAACCCTGTGCTAAGGATTGCAACATCTTATAAATTTTAAATGTATAAGAAAGAGTGAAGTGAGATACAATTTGGAAGTGATCTTCAGTATTTACACAACAGTTTTTATTTTTTGTAAGTCATCTATCGATTAGTTACCGAGCAATGAAATCCCAAAAGATATAAACTATGGAATGAATGACTCGAAATGTATCGTATCGTATCGGTATTTCTTTCTTCCATCTACTGTATTTTCTACTTATACTTCCTCTGTTCTTCTATCTTTTCAATCATTTCAAATGCTGCCCATGGCTTCTCTGCTCTTTTTTTTACCAAATCCCATTCCTTTACTCTTTTTGCCTTTTCAGTTTTATTTCCAACTCTTGCCAACAAAAGAACATGGTCACTATTAATATCTCCACCTGGCAATCCATACG